TATTTTTTAAATATTAAGATAAAAAAAATATAATTAAAAATAAGTGAATCGATAATAATGCCAACCCAATATACAGGTACAGAAATTAAAACGCGGACCGCCTACTTTACAATAAATCGGATAAGATATAATAGAGATACGCGTGTAACAAACAAAGACTGCTGATCAGTGACAACCACCTCGCTACATCCTTTAAAAAAAGTGAGGATTCGTTTTATGATCTGCTCACTTCGAATTAAATTTTGATCTTGATAAAAAATATCTATAACACTTGGAAACAAACAAAGCAACGCCTATCATATGTTCAAAAATTGGATCAAACTATTTCAGTATAGTCCGAGAGTCCATGACAAAAAAGTGAAAGAGTTTTATTAAGATTCAAAATTCATAAATAATTTTTATTTATAGTATGTGTAACTCTTTTAAATCAATGGTAGCTGCCACTCGCAAACATGAAATATAAGACACCATCTGCTGGTAGATAAAAGATATGTTACGCGGACGACAGGTACAGGCACAAATGTTCAGTGAAACCATGCAGGTGAATATCCACAGGGGATGCCCACAGGTTGGAGTAATTTCTCCTCTACTGTGAAACCTAGTGGCAGATGAACTGCTGAAAAGACTGCACAATCAAGGACTGTACGCCTAAGGATACGCCGATGACATAGTCATTCTTATCCGAGGGAAACACCAAACCACAGTCTTAGAATTCATGCAAAGAGCTCTAAGGCTGACAGAAATGTGATGCGTTAAGGAAAACCTCGTAACCTTTACTCGGAAAACAAGGTTGGAGGTCTAAGAAACTCCGACTCTGTTTGGAGAAAGGGTAAACAAAACGAACCAAAGAAAATATCTGGGTCTAATCCTAGATAGCAAACTTACTTGGAATTAAAACCGAAAATGGTCCACTGCTATATATTCGGCAATAGCAAGACTCATGATAACTTATAGCGGTTGATTGGTGGCCAAAAGTAAACCAGAAAACAGTCCTCAATACCCTCTCAGAACTTTAGAGGCTGACATGCCTTTGTATTACAGGAGCACTGAGAACTACACCGACAGCCTCTATGGAAATTATTCTAAACCCGCCACTCCTTGACCTAGTCATAAAGGGACAGGCCAGAATGAGTGCATACAGACTGGAAATCTCCAACAACTGGAACCCACTGGGACATATAAAACATACAAGAATACACGAAATAAATGATCCTATAGTAAACATGGGATCAGATCCTATGACACCCCGCCTAACCTTCAACAGACTCTTCCAGGTCAACAGCAACTGGAACGAGGTAAATAAGGAGGTAGAGAAATACTTGCTTAGCGATCTCGTATGGTATACGGATGGAACTAAAACTAACAAGGCTCTGGAGTACATGGAGTTAAACCCAAATGCGACATCTTAATTCTCTAAGATAGCCAAGCAACCTTAAATGCTCTTGATTCAATAAGGTAAAACTAGCGTAGGTACCAGGGCACAAAGGTATCCACGGAAATGAAAAGGCTGATGAACTCGCCAAAGAGGGATTAGAAATACCATTCACAGGGTTCGAACCTGTATTTGGGATAAGCAGAACCTCTGTTCGACAGGCAGTGAACAGGTGGAAAATCACAAAGCACCAAATTCACTGGCAACATATAAGAGGGCACATAATCAGTAAGTTAATGCTAAGGGGACCAAACCTACGAATGGCTATTGAGGTACTACAACTCGCAAGGCCTCAGATATCCACCAATTTGAGATTATTAACGGGGCACTGCTTGCTGAAACACCTTCATGTGATGGGTTTATACAATGGTCTCACTACGTGTAGACTCTGCATGAAGAGGAAGAAACCTCATACCATGTGATCTTCGAATGCGAACCTCTAACTAGGCGGCGTCTCATCCTTTTCGGTCTAGAATCGGAAAGAAAGAAAGAACGTCCCAGGAACACTTGGTAGGGAACTTATTAAAACTAACTAAAGGCACAGGACTATTCCAAAGATAGTATCTGAATACGGGGAAAGCAGGGGAATACAATAGACCTAAGAGGCCTCAGTGTTCTGAGCCAAACCTAACCCTACCTGCTTATAACCGACAAAGATAAAGATACCTTGAAAGTTGTCAAAAATGAAAACTGTTTTAGTGTGGTTGGAATTTTTATTATTTCATAGTTTTTACGTTAATAAATATAAAAGAAAATGTCAGACAACAAAATAAAAGGACCGGTAGCGTCAGCTTCACAATTTATTAATGAATTAGATTATCCTGCAAAAAGATCAGAAAGTAATATTAAAGTTCTGATCTTTAAAATCCCAAAAAGAGAAACTTATTAGATAACGGAGCCTATTCTTTAAGCAAAGCTATCTATTTAGTTGACAACAAAAATTATACAACAAAGATCTGCGTGGAAAATTATGTCTTGATATAACAATTTAAACACCACTAACTTCATTTTATTGGCCACTGTATACTAACATAAAAATATGTCAAGTCGTTTTAGAGTAAGAGCACAACATTATTTCTAAAAATTCTACTTTAACACCCTGTAACTTTTTACGATCCATTTTTTATATAAGCAAGTCAGCTTAAGAGCAAACCGGACCTCTCGCGACAAGCAAAAATGTTGTGAGGATTTTCTAATATAAAATTGTATTTATATGCGGGCAACTGGGAATACTCCGCGATGTTGTGTCTCGAGAATATTGAGAGATTTAAGAAAATAAGGTCGAAAACCCTTCCATTTAAAAACTACTAGATAGAATGAAAAATTATCAAAATAAATACAAAAAAGGCAAGGTTCTCCACCTTAAGTTTTGTTATTATATATTTCCTAAAAATTTCAAATCGACTAATTTTGGACTTCTAGGAACTGTGGTTAAATTTACTGTACATCTTTTTATTATATGGTTGAACTCTAATTTAAATCTGATTAAGACAAATGCAGGGTGCACAATGGGTCTACTGAAGTCTAAGTGCCTTGGGTTAACCCACCCTCTACACGTTACAGATACAGAAGAAAAATGCAGATATTCAAGATTATGGTACCAGAAATAGTGATTCTTAGTAATTTCGGCTAATAATTTGACATTACATGAAAAGACCCTATTTTTTTAGGAATTAAATATAATAATAAACTTGAACGGCCATTAAGAAAGGCTTTTTATACTGTTTTTGAGTCCTTTGATTTTTAGATAAAATTACATTGCTCTCTTCATAAATATGATAACATGTTGTTTTGGATTTGTGTATGTTTTATTTATAGTTTCCATTTCATAATACGATTTGTATTTACTATTTTTCCATTTCATAAATTTGTACACCATGTTTTGGCTTTTCCCATACATGTACAAGGTCACTTGGAATAAAATGGGTTATACTATACTAGATAATTTTTTCAACGTTTCAGGAATATTGTTGTAAATCTGCTAATTATAACTGAACGATCTGCGAAATATAGGTGAGGTCATCAAGCCCTTGGATCTAATATTAATATTATGAATATCTGTTAGGAACGTAATTTTTTAAGTAAATATTGTGGACATTTATTAATGATTATTCGTTGGAAGAGATATATTGAATAAGGTTTTCTTCTATTTAACTACAATATTTTTATTCAAGATATAATAAATTTCCAGTTCAAGGCTTTAGTCCTTGTTATGAGGGCAAGGTAATACAGAAAACTGTGACCAGATTTTTATTTTCAGTAAATTAAAGTAAAACTGCAAATTAATATGCATTTTTTTATTTATTTGCGAAAAAGGTGGCCGGATTGACGTATTTAAATACGTAATTGTTTTATCTGTGAATAGAGTAATTTGTATTCATTAGTATTTGACAGGTTGCATATTTTGTACTGTAATTGGTTAGGCAGTTGGGTGTCACAAGCAAATTAAATCGAAAATAAAAATAGTAAGCTTTTATCAGTAGGTATTTAATTTATCGCGTTTAAAAAAACATTCAAGGTACAACCGTTCAAAGACTCATTAAGAGTATTTTAGTAAAGCATTATGGACAAGTCTATTTAGTTAAAGAAGTCCAGACAATAAACCTGACAAGCTCGTATATACTGCAGACAATTTAGAATAATTTCAATATAAGTAATTTCCACTATGTTTTATAGTAAAATTAAACGTACACGTATTACGTATGTATAAATATGACGTCATTCGTTGTGTGGTGACGCGGGGATATTTAAATGCAACTTAAATTATTTTTTAATCTAAACAGTTTGATAAATATTTTTTTAAATAACAAGGAATACGTATTACAAGTTCGAACAATAATGTATGAATTAGCTGCAAAACTATGTCTGTTGTCTGCATAGAATCTATTGTTATATGCTGCTCTTTTTAAATCCAGGATGACATTAATTAATATTTTTTCGAGAGTTCTCATCATTTGAAGCAGCGTTGTCAAGTTGTGTTATTTGAAAAAATCTAGGAACTATAGAAATTTACAATCAGTCCATTCATAACTTAAATGTGACTTTATCCCTGTTAAATGATTAATTGTTGCCCAAAAGTATTAACATATGAAATTAGAGAAGCTAAGATACATTCTAATAGATCAGAGTTTCATCAAGGTGTATGAATGTTACATTTAGTAATTGAATTTGTTAAAAATTCGTGACCAACGATTTCTGTTTAATGTCGTACAGGTATGACTATGTTGATAAATAAATGTAAGCGGCAGGTAAAATGTAAGATAAAGTGTTTGTTTACTTCCAAAAATCGCCAAGGTTCTATTGACGGTTGGCGATAAAAAATATAACATCATAATATTTTGATAATTATATTACATATGTTTAAGGCCGAAATAGATGGACTGCAATGTGTGGTTGCGGTCGACCGCACATTTTGGCACACATTGGCATAGATTAAAACAAGTCACCCGTCAGCGTGCGACAATCTGCTATTGTTAAGACGTGTCTACTCTTTCATAGATTTCTGTGATAAAAATACTGTCTTCTCGCTTCATTAATATTTGATTGTTTTAAAAGAAAAGGTACTCACCGCATGTAAATGTTCTAAGGCCAAAATAATTTCTCCTATATAAATGCGAACTTCATCTTCAGTAAAGTGTTCTCTTTGGTATAGGTGGGTAAAAAGTTCGCCACCAGCTACGTAATCTGAAAAGAAAAAGAAAATGTGAAAAACATATCAAAATACCAAAACATATAATAGGACAAATACATGATAAAATAAAATAAAATCAAGAAAGTGAAAAAACAGACCACTTCTTCAAAATACGTCATGAGGCGGCAATGTTAATGATGAGAATCTAAATTTGGGTAAGTGGTTTGCGACTTGACTAAATCAACGAGTCGCAAACCATTTAGCCAAATTGAGATTCTCGCAACTGAAAGGTGGCGCCATCTAGCACCGGATTTTGAAGTTTGAGACTAGGGTCTAAAAAGACTAAATAACAGTAATAGTCCAAAAGGTACTATCCATAACAAATAAATTTTTAAGAAATGAAAGAATTTGTATTTAACGTCAGTATGAAAAGGGAAACGAACAAACCTGTCGACAAGTGACAGAACTGTGACATGACACTGAAGGTGTTAAATGAGATATTGTGAAGATACATCATTTCTATATTCATTTTGTCTATATTTACAAATAAATCATAAGTTTTAATGAAACTATATGAAATCAATTTAATTCAAACTAAAATGTTAGGTGTGTCGATGGAGCTGAGAGTAGCGTATTTACCTGTCAATGACAGGCTGTCATGCGAGTGGTCCCGGGTTCAAATCTAGGATTGGAGACTAATTAATGAAATATTTTTTATTTTATAGGTAAAAGTCATAAATTATATTTAAATTGGTTATTTTATCTTAATCTTAAAATAATTTTTAAAATTTGTAGATATTCGTTAGTGGATAGAAACAATATGCGTAGTAAAGTCCAGTGGATTGTCTGTATATGGCCATCATATCCACTCTTGTTGCACAAACTACTAATTTGAATTTATTTGTTTAAACCTTTGATTCTGGTCTATACGAAACAATCCAAAAACATTGACGTAATAGTTAATATTTTAAATATAATCGGATTAGTATAGTAGCAGCATAATTTTTTATAGTATTATATTTGATCGTTCTACGAAATCTTGTTTTACTACAACTTTTATAGATTATATAAATGACGTAATAACGGCTAACGTATTTATGGGATTTTACCATAACAGAAAAAAAAAGAAAAAGGACCGTCAGTTTTAAAAGTTGCAAAAATCTGGTTGTCAAAGAACTGGATATGAAAAGATTAGATGAAGAATTTTAACCTAGAATTTAGTTTATTTTTGCTTCTCTTTCGAGTAAGCGTGAGTATGTTTGCAATTAGTTTCTCCTATACACTGTCTCATACCGCAAAAAATCATGATTCCAACTTAAATTTTATTAGAAATAAAGCAAACCAAAGTTTTCCCGCAGACACCCAGTATGTCGTGCAGTTGCTCTATTTAACACTTCAACTTCACTGTGTTTATATTTTATTTCGATGCACTTACGGTACAAGTTTGATTATGGTATGTTTTAACAGCCATAATCAAACGTTTATTTTACGTACGTCGCTAAATTCAAAAACCAAATCTTTATTTTCATCCGTATATTAAACAAAGTGATCGTAATGCTCTTTGCTAAGTAACGGTTTGTGTCTTATTACAGATCATTTCACACTTTTTACAATTTCTTTGATTCATTATTAAAAATTGCTTAAAATTATCGATTCAGAATTTGATAGCAGCCACGGCATAGTAATTTACGTTAAAAGTTAGGGAAGTGACTTATTAAAGTACTATTAGAACATCTAAACAACAATGCTGTCATGAAAAAGCTGTTTATTCCTTCTTTATGTGTCCATAATAACAGCGACGTAGTGTCTCATTTGCGCGCACTACTTGTAATTTCGTCATATTAGAAGCAAAATGCGTCTGCTTTAAGAAATTCCTTCCGCAAAGTCGGAACAATAAAATCTAACCGGACTAAGACAAGGAAACGGCTATAATAACTGTTCAATCAATCCTTCCGAAACAAATGATCGGCCGGCCATCATCGTCCATCTACGCGCTATCAACGTACTCATCAAGGAAACGGTTTCACCTTAGCAAAAAGCGGCAAAAACTTTTTCTTTCAGCCGAAACCTCTCATCGTCTTCTTAGAGATGGATGGATCAAAGGCGGCACGTTAGAATGGATGAAGGTAAGTAGTTCCGCCGATTTTTCCGGTGGTGAGATTTCGTTGTTAACTTAACTCAAAAAAGGTTAGTAACAACAAAAGGAAACAAAAATATTAGAGGGGTCTTTTAACATATTATGGATAGATGAAGGTAGAGAAGTAGAGCACATAAAATGGAAAAGCCTAGTACAACTCTAAAGTCCGATAACGATAGGTCAAAACCATTCTTTCAAACTTAATATAGACATGTGGCTCGGTTTCAAAAGGGCCAATCTCTGAATTCTAAATTTAAATAAAGAGTGTTTAAAGTTTTTATGAAAACTATTGATTCAATTAAGGTGTGTATACATTAATCGATTCAATAGTTTTAGTAAAAACTTTAAACAATCTTTACTTAAATTATAGAAATCTGAGATTGGCCCTTTTAGAACAAAGCCACATATTATCTATAACTATCAATAAATAAAGCATTGAAAGTTGTTTGGTTTAAAAAAATGATAGTGTTCTTACTATAATAGGACCATACCATTATTTCTTATGTACTTTCTACAACGCAATTAGTCTTCATTCTTCTAATTTTATTTTATTGTATTTAAGACATACCAAACTGTCAGGGCAACGAAAAGGCCGACGAATTAGCCCGAGAAGGCTCAGATAAGGCCATGACAGGCCCCGAACCCTTCTGTGGAGTTGCTAAGGAACATCAGAAAAGAGTTTTAACTACTGTTTGGATGGTGTTATATTAAATAGGCCTGATTTTGTTATAGATCTTGGGGTAAAGTTCGATAGAAAACTTACTTTTAATGAACATCTAAATAACGTGGTAAAAGCATCATTCAGAAATTTGGGATTTATCATTAGGCATGCAGTTGACCTCATTTCTATCGAAACCATGAATATGTTGTACAATGCGTTTGTCAAATCAAAATTAGAATATGCTTCAATAATATGGAAACCATTTTATGATATTCACATAAGCGCTCTTGAAAACGTTCAAAGACGATATCTAAAATTCTTGACATTTAAGATAGACGGAACATATCCACTAATTGGGATAAATCACACGTTACTTCTAAATAGATTTCAAATGCAAAGCTTAGAATGTAGACGAAAAAATCAGTCGTTAATATTCCTCTATAAACTTATTAACTACCAAATTGATTGTTCCGAGTTATTAGAACAACTTGTATTTAAAGTGCCAAGAACTGAATCTCGAAACAACTTAATGTTTTATCTACCGCTATCTCGGACAAATTTATTAAAAAACTCGCCGTTGTATTTTATGTGTGAAAACTGCAACAACCTGCAAGGTAGAATTGATTTATTTTCTTGTAAGCTTTCGCAGCTCAAAAAATTGTAAAGCTGTTTTGGTACTATTTGTATAGTCATTAATTTATTTAATTTTTTGTCATATTATGTAATTTTTGTTATGTTGTGTAATTTATCTTATATCCAAATTATGTCTTATTGTGCAATATGTTTTATTTATATTTACTTTTGTAATTACAATTTTTTTCCTGCTCTATAACTAGGCATTTAGCCTGTAGAGCAGTGTATTTAATAAATAAATAAATAAATAAATAAATAAATAAATAAATAAATAAATAAATAAATAAATAAATAAATAAATAAATAAATAAATAAATAAATAAATAAATAAATAAATAAATAAATAAATAAATAAATAAATAAATAAATAAATAAATAAGTTGTTTACGGTAAAAGTATATTAAAAAACCCATAAAATTTCTTCTTTTCAACAAGGCGTTAGCAAATAAAAGCTTCCGTCTTTAGGGTTAGATTATGAAATTGGCCTTTATTTTGTTCTATATTGGTACTTTATAAAAGGAAATCTCCTTTTCTAAAGTTTTTTTTTCCTACACCTTTATTTATATTTTTTCCTTGTAGTTCTTGGGTTTTTAGGTGTTGGTTGAGGAATGAAACTCGTGTATGTGGGTAAAGCTTTCGGCACTGATCAGTGCCTTCTTCAGTAGTTTTTGTGCATTTGTACATTATTTTTACACAGTCAAAATTGTTCTTTAGTACATGTTGGGGTGTGTCTTTATATTTGTTAAATGTTTGAAATACTTTTTTTTATATTATTATTATTATGTAGTTAATTTTTATCCTTGTCATGTCCGTTGAGATTGTATGGGTTGAGATTGTTCTGCTTAATGAGTTTTTACTCCTAATTTGGTAATTACTTGTCATTAACCGCACTTGACTCAAGGGTCGCTAGCCCGGAATTATTTTTAAATGAAGAATGGTGATTGAGGATGAGTGAGAAACAAATAAATAAATCAGGTTGTTGTAAAAGGATTTCACGTGCATTAAAGGTTATTTTAAAGTGGTGAAACTAACAAAATAAAAAAATTATATAACGAGCCGCCCCTGTTGAAGATAGATGAACGATATGAAATGTCTGGTATTTCGTATAAGAGGAAGAAAGATGGGTTGATCGATAGCGTCAGCGCGTAACGGTATTATCCGTATTTTATCGAAGAAAATCTTTAATTGCATAACAATATGTAGATAAACTCACTACACTGTTATTGGGAGTTTTATTATTATTGTTATAAACGGAGATATGTATGTTATTTGATTTCCAAATGGAAATATATTAAGCGAAACGTAATTTCAGTTTGATTATAACTGTTAAGACAAATTGCAAATTAGTTTAAAAAAAATAGCATTTCCAATAGATCACTGCACCAAGAATGAAGCTACAGGGTCCGATAAAAGTGGAAACGCTCGAATTTCTCTGGTTTTGCCCTCAAGATCACGTGGCTTTAGCTTTCAGGTAGTCAGAACCAAAAGGCGTGGTTTTCTGTAAACTGGCATATTTTTTGCAGAACATTGGCAACCAAATATCTTAGAATTTTGGCAGCTACCACATTCTAAGTATTCTCCCATGATATAAAAAATTATAGAGGTATGATTCATAGCGAAAT